TTTCGCCTGAGCTCCTCTCAAGTTTGAAGGCGAGGGGCCTAGAACCGTGTACACTTAAGGAGGTCCTGGAAGAAAGGGGCATCGGTTGGGCAGCTACGCAGGTTCGCAGCCGTACACACTGCTGCTCAACCCCATCTCCATTCTATCCCTTTCTCTTAACCGTCGGTGCACTGGACGTCCCGAGGGTGGCGATTCCCTCTTGTGGTTTTCTGAATTGTAAGGACTTGTTTATGGAGTGTGTTCAGGTGCGGGACGAACGGGCGGAGTCGGAACATGCACGGTTGCTGGAGGCTTTTCAGCGGCAGTGCGAAGGATGGGGAAACAACAGAGAAGGTTGGGTGCACAGCAAGTGGCACAGTGTTATTGTCTGCCCTGATTTTAAACGTGGGGGCCTCCAGGTGCGGCTCCGATGCACAATTCTTGGGATTTGGCCCCTGAACGTATTCACGTACCAAGCTGCCTGTCTGTCTGCATACAGTGCTAGACGATTGCCGTTCTCTGTAGACTCGTCATGTGTCTTTAGTTGGAGTGTCCATTCAGAAGCCACGCAGGCTTTCGATGGGTCTTGCTGTGGCGGTGTATCTTGCTCATTTGTTTCCGCTCGTGCGTGCACTTGTCTTGGCAGTGCAGATGGTATTGATTCCTGCTGTGATTGTTGCCGTGCGGTGTTTCCTGCTTTCAGGTGTCTCGATCTTCAATGCGGGAGATGTGGAATAGCATCATGTCGGTAGTGCATGGATTTGTGGACCCTGACCTAGTGGTCTGCAGGGTCACCGACCCCACGCACCCAGTGCGCTTTGCAACGCCTCCGGGGGAGAGCTGCTACACCGTCGTGTATGCAGGGAAGGAGCCGATACGGGCCTCCAAGGAAAGAAGAATACTGGGGGAATACACCGGACATGTTCGCGCAGGAAGCACCAACAAGCAAAGGTACTTGACAGATACGCTTCCCAGACGTCTGAACTTTTCTTTTAAACTGTAATTGTATATATATGAGGGGTTCCCGTTTTCCTAGGTGTACTGCACCAGCAGTGCGTTGGATGCGAGGACAGCATTGAGGTAGACAAACAGAGACAGTTGCACTTGCGGCCATGCGGAGAGACAAGCATCGACTTGTCGTTGTATCCGATTTGCCGGTTTTGCGGCAGGTCGCGGGGTATGTTGCAGTTGGAGGAGAGAGAATAACAAGCGAGTTTCGACAGTTTGTTGTC